TCCAAGAAAAATGAAATCCTTGATAATATCAATCTTTTTTTCTGCTTATCATGATGTTGCTTATTGTTCCAGTTATGAGGATGTTTGCTTTCTTTATGTTGAGGTTTAATCCACAGAGAAGGCTATAGTCTTTGATTTTTATTAGTAAGTGCTTCGAGACCTTTTTGTTTTCAATAAGCAAGGTGTGTCATCTGCATACTTTAGGTTGTTGATGAGTCTTCCTTCAATTATTATGCTATGTTCTTCATCATATTTTTCATAAAGTCTAGATAATTGAATGAATTATTCAGAATGCAGATTTAATAACTATGGTGATTGGATACAACTCTGAAGCATACTTTTCCTGATTTTAGCTATAAGCAAGATCAGTGTTTTATCTAATACATGGCAGCTAACACAGAACCTGTAAAATATGAGTACCATCCATTGCTTCACTAACCAGCACTTGCTCGTCACTTAGTGTTTTGCTGTGATGTTGGAAGTCATGCTACTGGTATTTTAAATACTAGCAGAGTCACTAATGACAGATAGGGTTCAGTTAACTCTCCAGACTGAGACATACTAGAAAGGAGAAGAGGACTAATTTGGAATGCTTAACCAGTAAATATTTTATGAATTATTGTTGTTAAGTGCCATCAAGTCAGTTCCAGTTTATAGGGTCACTATGTAGGGTTTCATAGGAGAGGCTAGTGAGTTTGAATCACAGACTTTGCAGTTCAAACTGATCTTTTGGCCCCATGCATTACCCTGAGCACCACATCAGGACTCTACTTTATGAATAGCAGCGGGATCTTGTTAGATATAATTATGGAGGATGAAAACGTTATGAGGAGCACCAGAATATTGTCACATATAGTGCCAGAAGATGAGACTCTAAGGTAGGAAGGTATGCAAAATACATCTGGAGAAGCAGAGTTTACCATGATGACACAAATGTAATAATTCATTCAGGACTTTCATTTGCTGATGAGGCACACGTGGTTATGAATCAGGCTGCAAACCTCATGGTCAGCTGTTCTAAACTACCAGCTGTTCTGCAGGAGAAAGATAAGGCTTTCTGCTCCCATAAAGATTTACAGCCTTGGGAACCCTGTACAGAATCACTATGAGTTGGTTCTGATGACACAGCACATAACCACCACACTACCACCATTCAGGACTTTCATTTGTTGATGAGGCACACTTCAAAATCAGGAGGAACACCTGGAAACATCCATTATTGATCAGAACATGGAATATATAATGTATGAATCTAGGTCAATTGGAAGTTGTCAAAAATGAAATGGAATGCATAAAGCTCAATGTACTTGGTATATGGATATACTTGGAAGAGTTGTGGTGTATTATCAAGAACATCATAGTGGAAGAAATCCAAAAAGTAATTAAGAAGATAAGACAGAAGAAAAAGACCAAAACATACATCATAACAGATGTCTGGAACTGGCTCTCCATCATTTTTCTTGTTGTTAAGTGCTGTTGACTTTGTCCCAATTTATAGTGACATAGGGTTTCTGAGGAGCAGCTGGTGGATTTGAACCACCAACATTATGGCTCATAATCCATTGTTTATCCTACAATGTCACTCCAGTAGAGATATACGAAAATTAATGGAAGAAATGAGGAAACAAAAGATCTGAAGAGAAAATTTCAAAGGTAAGTAAGAGGAGACAAAATCAAGTATTATAATGAAATGTTCTAAGATCTGGAATTAAAAAAACAAAAGGGAAGGACAAGCTCAGCATTTCTCAAGCTGAATGAATTAAATATAAAAAAAAAAATTCAAGGCTTTTTGCTTCTGCATTGGAAACCATACAACAGGGTAACTATGAGTCAGAAATGACTCAAAGACTCTTAAAAATAACAAATAACAGTGGTTGAAATATTGAAGGATGCAAAATGCAAGGGATACACAGAATCATTCTATCAAAAAGAAATGGTCAATGTTCAACTACTTCTGAATACCAGAAACAAAAATATCTAAGACTTGAGAAAATCAATGGTTTGGATAGCATTGTAAATATATTTTCTACAACACTATCAAATTCTGAACTGTGATATGGATTTAACTTTCAAGAAACTGTTGTAGACACTTCTCATTTCTGACTTCTGAAAGGTCTTGCAATATAGGTTATGAGATTTTGTATGATCTCTGAGATGTCCAAATAAATAGACAGACCCAATAATTGAATAAATTGATCTGTACAGATTCTATCTACTGTATAAGTAGGTGTTCATCTTTGCATTGTTGGAGCGCTCTGTCTTAATTTCATTAATATCATTGAAGTAAATCTAATTTTGTAAAACAAAATTTCATCGTATGACTATATTATTTCTAGTACTGTCATAAAAATATCAGACAAATGAGAAGTCATCATATTTTTTAAAAAAAATTGTCAGGCACTTGAGTGGTATAGAAAGGAATGTTGGGAAGGATGATTAGAGAAAACTTGTAAGCCCGCCTTCAGCCTATAACTGATTGGAATACCACAAAGGGGTTCTACAACTTGCCCAGTGAAATAGGCCTTGTGCAAAGCCTTCACAGAGTATAGGACCTTAGGTGGAATCCTGAGTCCCATCCACAACCTTGTGAGAT